AAAAGAAAAGAAACAATGCTATCTACTGGGACATTTCAATATTAATCTACTCAATTATGAAACCACGTCGCTACTCAAAAACAAAGAAAAGCTATAAATTGCTCTTTCATATGAACTGTGGGATGACACTATTACTACCAGTGACACAAATGACTCGTATGGAAAAAAAAGCGCAATGGAAGAAACAGGAACTAGTAGAAGAATATCCTAATAAATCTCCTGAAATCTGTAAAAAGTAAACATTACAGTGATTTGTTCAATAAAGAAAAACATAATATAAAATACAACATTCAACATATAATCAGCCAACATTCAGTCAGAATTTAAGGTGCCGTGCGGAATAAAATTATTAAAAATAAATCAGCAGTTGCAAATGACTTTTTTGCTAATGTTGGCACAAATTTAGCAAGTCGTCTAGCTGCTTCTTTAGTAGACTTTTATCCTTATTTGACAAATCAAATAATATAATCCATATTCTTTGAACCAGTGACTGACAATGAAATATAATTAACTCATTAAATGTGAACAAAAAAATTGTAATAAATAATAAGAGATAGAAATAACATGTGGCGTTCTGCAAGATTCCATATTAGGACCGTTATTATTCATAATTTATATTAATGATATTCTTCAGACCTCAAATATTTTAAATTACGTCCTTTTTGTAATACTGACAGTCATACCGATCTCACCTTTGCAATTAATACCAATAATACTAAAATCCAAAAGGTACCTGACTGGTTAGTAAGCAATAAATTATCAATTAATATTGAAAAAAACACACTTTGGGGTTTTGAACCCAAAACGAAAAAACATTCACTACTGCTAATATTAAAATGAATAACAAAGAAATCAGCGAAGTTTCCAGTATTAAATTCGTGGGTGTTATTATGGATAAGAATATCACATGGAAAATCACATTGATTCTGTAACAAACAAAATTTCAAAAACTATTGGTGTATTATCCAGGGCGAGATACAGCATGCTAAAAAATGTTTTAAAATTAATTTATCATGCAGTGATCTCGCCACACACATAAATTATTGTATTTTAGCCTGGGGAAGAGCATCAATAACACAAATAGAAAAAGTACATTTACTGCAAAAACGGGCAATCTGATTAATATGCAAAGTAGACAGGAAAGTCCATACAAAACCACTACTGTCTAGAGAGCATTGTTTATGTTCAGAGTTGAAAACCAAATGCTACCAAATTGCTTTAATCAAATTTTCATTAAAAATAAAGAAATACATAATTATGATACGCGACACAAAACAATTTCCATGTTGGTAGTGCAAGAACTTCATTGATGCAAAAATCGACGGGGCAAGAAGGAATAAAACTATGGAATCAATTGAGTTGTGACTTGAAAACTACAAATAATTTTCAAATGTTTAAATCCAATTGTATATATCCAATCTCATTTCTAAATACTGAATAATAACTGTCATCAATAACATAACCTGCAATACCGGATATTCACAAGCTAGTAGATTTTATTATCCTGATTTTTCTCCCATTTTCATTGTTAAATAACAGTGACTTGCATGATATGTAAATTTTGTAGATACGTAATTATTTTGCATTTTTTTTCACTAGAATCACTTTACATTACAAGAACATCTGGTAGATTCAAATTGTCCTTCCAGAGTTGTAAAAAAGTATGACCTGTCAATCACCTTTATGACAGTTATCGCGCGGCAATGCACACCAATTATTGCTTTCGTGGCATCCATAAAACAGGTAAAAACAGGAGAGTTGTGCCTCAATAATTTCTTTGAGAATAAATATGCACATGTCAGTTGAGTGGTGACTTTTAAACCCAAACTGGAAGTCATTCGTCCCAATATACATTTCTGATCTTGTCAAAATACACAATTCAAACACTTTAGAAATCACAGACACCAGTGCAATGGGTCTATAATTATCAGTAGATGTTACATCTTTAGCTTTATCTTTTATGATAGGTACAATAACCGTGCTCATTAAATCATCAGGTAAGTCACCGTGAACAAATAGGGCAGTAAAACACATACTCAATTAAATGCTCCGAGGACAATTCATCTTTTCCCGCACTCTTCCCCTTTTCTAATTTATTGACTGCTTCAACAATTTCATGTGTAGTAACAATCATGTCATCGTGAAATACAATATTCTGTAATGATGGGGTCACGTGATTTTTTATGCCTACAGCTCGAAACTGAGTTCAAAATATTTTCGTAGTGATGCTTCTACATATGTTTAATGCCCACTACAGTCACTCACATCACTCGGAGAAGGGAATGATTTATTTGTATCTGATTGAACCAATTTCCAAAACTTATCTATGTCTACTCACCTCTGGACAGTTTGTTGGCCATCGCGCTGTCCCTTGCCTCGTTCTCATTTCTTCTACAAATACGTAACACGAGTTTAAATTTTGCTCGAGTTTTCCTCATAAGTTCCAAAAGCGGCCGCTCCGCGGTGGATAACGACTATGTCATGTGAACCACACAACTCACGAATGGCATCAACAGATGACTTACATCCCCGACAGTTAAAAGTAGTTAATATTCCTCATATTGATGCGATTAATTAAACTTACAAATTAAACGCCATTTGGCCAAGACGTCGGACTTAAAGACATCTCGTGAGAGAACGCGTGGTTTCTACTTGGAAAGAGGCATATGTAACCAATTTCGTCTTAAGTTTTTCACATTTAACTTTTATATCAAAAACCTCATTTATATAACTGCAGATATCCTGTTCCGTGGTAGAAGTATCGTGATAAATTATTTAAAAGAAGGGCTAGAATGAGCTACCTTGATAGTGAAAGAATCATCGACTTTTGCTGTCCAACTGTTGGTTGCTGACGCCGTTTTCGTCGTCTTTGTACCATTGTAAATTCATTGTTATAGCTGTTTATTTATTTACCAATAACTCCACTCGACACCTCATGTGTTGCATTCTTAGTTATACCAACTGTCGATTCAGTCTCTCTGTTTCACGTAAGTGGCACATCCTTGGTTACCGTCATGCTGGTGTGTTTTTGCAATTTCAGCATACGAAACTGATTCAGTTTGCTCGGACATCTAAGTTGGTGTTTTTCCAATCCCATGTCCGGATATAGGCCTACTTAAATTACAGTCTGTTTCACATATTACTAATTCATCGACATTAGGCGCGATTTGCGTTCAATAGCTGATGGCAGATTCAATTCGTCATCACCCACCATTAGTGAGCTATCAATAAACCGAGATTTCAACTGATTAATTTCCTTCCGAATAAACCTCAAACCCTGCATCAAGTCTTTATTTGTCACTGATTTAAGTTCCAATGCCTTACGCCTTAATGATTTCAGCTCCTTTGCCATAACAGATACGTCCACATGTGTTATATCGATTGGAGGTAACTCGGTCAAATCCTTTGCCACGAAACAACGTAAATTTTCTTCATTATTAGCACATTATTACACCGTTTGTTGTGTCCCTGCCGTTTAATAAATCTCGAAGTGGTGTTGTTACAACAGAGATCAAATAATGTTCTCTTCGCGAAATCAATATCATCGTCTTCAAAGTGATCGACACATAGCTTAGTTAAAATGTCCGTCGGTACAATTTCAATTTTATTAATAAGAAAACAGAGTAATTCATTTATCATTACACCACTGGCGGTCAAACTTTTCGTGGGATCTACTTCCCGATCGTCTGCATTCCCATTTCCAAAACGTTTCCACTTACAATTAACACAAAGTTGAGTATCACCCTGTGCCAGTGTTACCCGCATGGAAACCTCCCCACAATCCTCAGAACGGAGGGGAATCATCGTTGTGCACTTATCCAGTTCTACGTAACATTAACTCGCGTGAATGACCCCTGCCACGCTGATGTAAAAAGTGTTTCCACTTCGTTAAAAACAGTAATAGGCTGACCACAATACCTTTATAAAGGTTGTTGCAAACGCACACTACATAATTACCCAATGTTCTTTGCAACCCCCCAGCAACTTTTTAAGATACTCCAGGTACCGTTGTAGACGCAATAAAGTTACATACACGCTCACGTGACAGTTAATCAAAACACCGGACGCGGTATGCTTTTGATGTGTGACCGAGAAGAACGATGGGTAGTCGGTCTATTCCATTGCTTTATAGGTACAACAATCATTGCTGTATAACACTTGGAAGAAATATAATACGAACATAAAGCTGGGAAAGAATATTAATAAGAAATATCCACCTCATAATAGCAATAATTGTTCAAAATTATAAACTGCTTTAAAAACTAAACTGTTCTCATGAGGGTTTTCATTATATGTTTCATTGTCAACAATGAGAAAAACATGATTGTTTGATGAATGTTTGACTGAACGCTTACACGTTGTAATAGTTGAACCCACCGGAAACACTGATCCGTTGTTTTGATTAACTGTCACGTAGGCGGGTATGTAACTTTATTACGTCTACAACGTCTATCAACTGCGCGACATAAAACAAATACACCAGTAGCCATCCATACTGGTATAATGCAAATTAACAAGGAAGATGAAGACCTACGGAAGGTGATGGAATCTAGCATATGAATAGACAAATTAAAAATTCTATTTCGTGACAGTGTTAACACACTATCATATTAACACGATAACACTGTTGTTTATGTTGTGGTATTGGCTATTTTCTACACAATTCTGTTTATGTATTCATGTTTTTTCAGGGACAAGAGGTGGCGCTGGACATACAGAGTGCTCCTAACAATTTATATATAGTTCGCAGGAACCCATTTATCCCCACACTCCATGCAAGACCACTCATCAAGCATGTCACATATCACGTGGTTAGCTTAATTTATTCCCGCCTTTCTATAACTACATTTTCTCTAGCGCCATTTTATTTCATTTGAATTTACACTTAATTGTTTTATTTGTTTTGTTTCTTCTAATTAATAGAACTTTGAAAGAGGTGAATAGTGCCAAACATAAATTAAATCGCCATCATCTAGAAATATATCAAACTTCTATGAAACTTACAATTTCTTGTCTGCCATCTCCCTGTACAGAGGCATAACATGATCAATGTACTGTTTTAATTCATCTGGTAACTCACTCAAGGTCATGGGAGATTGTGTCGGTGATTGAAAGCAGCTGCTTTCAATCGCGGGTTTGAAATACAGTTCCACAAACTGTGGATTTTTCATATGATCAGGAAAATGGTGTATATTTCCTGGTTTCCAATTTAAGAAGTTCTCACTAAATGAAAGACCTGTTGCTAAACAATATTTTTGTAAAGTTTCTCTTGGATTTCTTATCAAATCATCTGATTCTACGATTATTGCTGGTAGATTTAATTCGTCTGTGATGTACTTATATAGTATGTAATTTGCTTCAAAAGAATACACTTCTATGGTACGTTTGGGTACATCTCTAATGTCACATTCAATACGGCTGCAATCTTCTAAAACACTCTTGTACGAAGATATGATGGATGCCTTTGGATCACGAATCAGGAATGTGTGAATATAACCAGTGGGTAGGTATATATAGTTTGCTCTTCCTCCAATACTTCCTGCGTTATCTTTAATGAAGATGGCACTTTTTTCTGGACACGAAGTTTTCTCTAATCTATCTTTCACTTCTTGGTATGTGTATCCAGGAACTGGAGGACCACGAACGAACACATCTTTACACATTCGTTCCTCTCCATGAAAACCTGCCATAACAAACTGTTCATGGAAAACTTTGATTGAAGGTTCTGCTGCAATTGCTAATTCAAATGCAGTTGATCTCGACCTGCCATGTGCCCATAATGCCACTCGCAGAGATGGCGCTATATCGCAAAAACGAGTTGCCATTGTCACTATATTTTAAACGTAGTCTACTAGCAACTGGATATCTGTAATGAAAAATATTATTCTATGACAAGGCTGGATATACATTTAAATATACATTTAATAGCCACACTATTATTCAATAAAAGTGTCTAACAACTGTAAAAACAACCTTTTACATGGTCTCCCTGGTGTTGGACGGGCACTATGTATTTATTTATTACTAGCTAACATCATTAATAGTAATACGTTTGAATAACCGATCATTTCTACCCACCATCACAGATCATATACAGAAGCCTAACATAATCAGCAAATGTATGCGTCTAACAGACAAACATTACTCAACAGTATTGCTCGTATCCGAAGATTAACACAGTCATAATGTACATCAGATCATCACATGGGCCTTACTGGGTTGCTTACAAATCTCTGACATTGGAAACCTACTATATTGGTGTTTAAGATGTGAGTGAAAAAATTGTTTTTTGTTGTTGTTGAGGATTTTGTATATTGGTACTATGCCAAAATAATTTATCAACGTTTAGACTGCTCGAATAACGCGTTTTACATTCGCAGTTTTGTTGTCAGTGTTGTCTAGTGAGAAGTAGTACTCTGATGAAAGTTATGGAAAAGGTAGTACTTTTCTTTGGTCAAAATCAACACTAGAAAGACATTCTACACATGGTACAATGGAGAAGTAGAAAATAACTCTGTTTATGATTGACGTAAAGAACTGCTCAAATACTGTCGGAGCGACGTGCACATACTCTATACTCTATATAGTGTTATTTGGCATTTAAAACGATGATGATGGATCTCACCGAAGTTGACTCTTTCAGTCATTGCATCATGATTGCTTCTGTGTGCAACGTCATATTTTGAAAGAATTTCCTGACTCCTGATACAATCGGAGTTGTGCCTGAGAAAGGTTATCTCAGTGCCCAGAATCAATCCGCAGATGCTATAAGATGGATGGAATATGAGGCACACGTCAATAACACGCATATTCAACATGTTCGTAATTCCAGAAGGGAGATGAAAATCGGACCTTATCATGTAGACGGATATGATGCTTCTACCAAAACCTTGTACTACGGTTGTTACTTCCACGGTTGCCCATAAGTGTTTTCCCAGAAGGAATGAAACGAATGAACTCAGTATGACCTCCCTCTATGAAAGGCTACTGGCGAGGGAACAGTGGTTGTAATCGAAATGATACTCGCTAGTCACCATGTGGGAATACGATTTCAAAAACCTGATGAAGAACAATCACAAAGTCGAGAGGTTTGTCGGAAACTTAGGTATCTCAAATCCTATCAGAGGCTTTTCTCGGCGGTCGTACCAATACCCTGCGTCTGTATTACGAGATCAAGGAAGGTGAAAAGATAAAATATGTTGACTTTTGCAGCCTCTACCCGTACATCAATAAGACCTCACGATATCCAGTTGGCCACCCGACAGTCGTAACTAAAGACTTTATCGTCAAACCCACAGACTATCTCGGTATTATCAAGTGCGATGTTTTACCTCCGAGGAGATTATATATACCAGTTCTACCTTTCAGGGCGAACAACAAACTGATGTTCCCACTCTGCGTGGAAACCATGAATCAAGACAAATGTCACCGCACTGTCAATGAACGCCAGCTGACAGGTGTTCGGTGCACCCCTGGAATTGGAAAAGGCTGAAGAAGTAGGCTATCGATCACCAAGGTATACAAAATTTGGCATTACGATGAGTCGGCAACCTACAACCCCGAGACTGGAGAAGGAGAGTTGTTCACCGAGCACATCAACATGTTTCTGAAAAATTAAACAAGAGTCTTCCGGTTATCCCGAGTGGTGTCGCACCGAGGAAGACCGAACCATGTACATCCAAAGAGACAGCGAAAGAGAAGGTATCGTCCAGGCTTCAAAGCTCTCGCCAAGCTAAACCTCAACTCATTCTGGGGAACGCTGGGACAGAGATCAAACTTTGGGTAGAGCATGTATGTAGAAACGGCCGCCAAACTGTTGGAAATGTTGATGGATAGTACAAAGAATGTCACAGATCTTTCTTTTGTCTCTGACGAAATGGTTCTTGTCCAGCACTGTGATAAAGAAGACTACATCACCAAAGCACCTAATATGAATGTTGTACTGGCTGCCATGACGACGAGCTATGCCCGACTTAACTCTAAGTGTTCTGGAGAAATTAGGTAGTAGAGTCTTGTACTTTGACACAGATTCTATCATTTACATCCAATGAGCTGGAGAATGGGATCCACCGACGGGTGATTATCTCGGAGATTTGACGAGAGAAATAAGCGGATAATTACATCACACATTTTGTATCCAGAGGACCGAAGAATTACGCATACGGACTACACAAACCGGACAAAAGTAGGAACCAAACGGTGTGTAAAGTGAGAGGGTTCACCCTCAATTACAGAAATCAATTGGAAATTAATTTTGACTCCATGAATCGGCTTGTTCGGAGAACAAGCAGTCCTCTACATGTCAAAGACCCAAAAAAAATAACGTGCAAGGGAGATAGAATATTCAATCACCCCGTCTGAGAGGTCACGGAGGACTGAAATTGAATCCGGGCTACTACAACTGGATCGAAATGATTTTAGACGTGATACGAGAAAAAGGTTTGCTAGATGAAATACTGATGACATATAATTCGCGGTCTAGGAGAGTGACCGTAGCAGTCAAAGAAGGAGCTCGTGTAATCTTGATGGGTGGATTGGCCAAACTGTTAGGATTTCCCTCAAATACAACAATTACAAACGAAAGATGCACTAGTCCCTACCTTGTTGACATTAGAAGTTTCTATTCCCTCTACGTGTATTGCAATATAGTCGAACACCAAATGGTCGGTGACGTTTCCGCACCTCTCTTGAGAATAGTCAACGTTGAAGGAACCCACGGAGATAGCGTCAATCACAGTTACAACAAACTATACTTTCTCCCGATTCGAACATCAACATTCAAGACTGTTGAGATTGATATAAGGTCTGATATGGGGGAGAAGGTGCCATTTCAACGTGGGCGTGTGATCGTGACGCTGAGTTGTCACAAAGCTCACCCTTCGCTAGTGTGAAGAAAAGGAAAATGAACAAACATCGACCTTACACTCCTCACATGGGGGTTTATAGAAATTACTACATGAATCGGATTGGACGAGCGGGTCATCAAATTACTTCTTCAGTATTGAGCAATTTATTTGGAAGACCCTCTCAAACGGGGCAAGGACGCACCATCAAAAGGAAGAAGACAACAACGAGACGTGTCATTTCTTCCAAAGCTAAGAAGAGGAGAAGATCTCTGGATATATTCGACTGAACATCATGGCTTTCGTACACGAACACTACTGCAAATGCGCAAAGACGGAACTCGATCTCTTTACTATTCCTCCGACACAGACAAGTATTGAAAAAGGAAGGTATAAAGAGGTAAACCCACTCACGAATATAGCCGATGGTCCAATTGAATTCGTAATACCTTCGGGCGGAATTAACTACATCGATATTGGTTCTACACTTTTGCACATCAAGGCTAAAATCACGAATGCCAACAGGAGTAATTTGGCTGCGGACGCTACTGTAGGGCCTGCAAACTTGTGGTTGCATTCCCTCTTCAATCAAATCGACATGTGGAAAGCAGATTTCGGACGCATCTCCCACCTATTCTTACAGCCGAGATCGAAACGCTATTGAATTATGGAGGGGACACCAAATCAACGCAGATTGGTGCGGCGATATTTGAGAAGGAGACTGCTGGATAAATTAATGTCGCAAACCCGAGGGCCGATGATGGTGACGCTATTATGGGACTCAAACGTTGATACGCGTATACATCGCTCAGTAAGACGGTCGACATGATCGGATGAATACAGGGAGACATATTTGTTCAACCAAAGTATTTACTCAATGGGGTGGAAGTTAGACTGAAATTACATCGAAGTGAAAATCTGTTCTGCTTGATCAGTTCAACTGAAAATCCCGCATTCAAAGTAGTCATCACCGACGCTACTCTCCTGGTGAGAAAAGTCAAGTTGAGCCCCAGCGTACAACTGGGACAAGTCAAAGTGTTGAAACAGGGTACTGCAAAATTCTCCATCGATCGATGCATTATGAAAATCGATTCCATCCCGGCTGGTACAATGTCATTAAACAAAGATTTGATATTCCTCGGTCAGTTGCCCAAAAGGATCATCCTGTGTCTGGTTTCTAATACGTCTTT